AAGGCCGCTTTATTGCGCTACTGCTCCGGTCCTTTTGAATTCGTAACTGGTCTACTTCAGTTATATCTCACCTTTTCTCAAACGACAGAAACCGAACATTTTACAAACACCTTCGCTAGCTCATGAAGGAAATCCCTGAAGAAATAATCTGATCCTTCAGGGTAGAAAATCCAGCATTATCACCCATTTCTGAATGACTCGCCGTTGTAACGAGCAACTTTTTTAAAAGCCTTAATAACAAATATTTGATGCCCGTGTCACGAATTTTGACAAAAATCAAAGAAGGCCTTCACCATCTTTGATGTGGTGTAAAGGTATGGTCAGAGACGGCCTTTACCATCTTTGAGATAGGACAAAAGTGTTGATCAAAGGTACGTTTTCAAGCAGTGATGCATGTTAACAGCGAGAGTTTCTTGACCATGTTGATTTTACTCGCTGCGTCACTGCTTTTGCATAGACTATAAGATTGGTACTTACTCTGGTCTTCTTTTACCAAGCCGGTCAAACAGCATCCGACCATGAAGGCGAGCAGCAGAATGATCTTGATCAAGGGAATGGTTGACATGATGCGATATTGTTCTTCTGCGATAAATGAATGGGAGATCTAGACACGACCGCTTTATAAAGCCTTTGACCCCTTCTTTGTATTTCCCTGTTTTAAAAAGCAATTAACAGTTGTTTGTACTGCAATTGCTGAAGTGCAAATAAGGATAGAAAACATTTCTCATGTTTCCCTAATAACTTCCTTGCTGCTGCAACAGGTGTCACTAGTCTTTTATTTCCCGAGTACTTGCCCAATTTGGGCCACCTTATCCCGGTACAATTAATTCTAATTCAGTTAAAATAAGGCCCATAAACTCACACACTCGAATATTTTGACTAAAGTTGCACAGTAATAAATGCAGTTTTCAAGATAGTTCCTGACCGACTGTCACTTCTCTATCACCGGCTTGCTGATGCGACTGACGGATTGTTTTTGTGGACGTTAATTGTGTTACATGAAACCGAAAGCACGTTCTGATCTTCTTCATTGTTTCTACTGCACTTACTGAAGGGCAAAAAAGGATAGAAAGCATTTGTCACATTTCCCTAATAACATCCTTGCTGCTGCAACAGGTATCACTAGTCTTTTATTTCCCGAGTACTTGCCCAATTTGGGCCACCTTATCCCGGTAAAATTAATTCTATTTCAGTTAAAATAAGGCCCATAAGCTCACACACTCGAATCTTTTGCCTAAAGTTTCACAGTAATAAAAGCAGTTTTCAAGATAGTTCCTGACCGACTGTCACTTCTCTATCACCGGCTTGCTGACGCGACTGACGGATTGTTTTTGTGGACGTTAATTGAGTTACATGAAACCGAAAACACGTTCTGATCTTCTTCATTGTTTCTACTGCACTTACTGAAGGGCAAAAAAGGATAGAAAGCATTTGTCACATTTCCCTAATAACACCCTTGCTGCTGCAACAGGTATCACTAGTCTTTTATTTCCCGAGTACTTGCCCAATTTGGGCCACCTTATCCCGGTAATATTAATTCTAATTCAGTTAAAATAAGACCCATAAACTCACACACTCGAATCTTTTGACTAAAGTTGCACAGTAATAAAAGCAGTTTTCAAGATAGTTCCTGACCGACTGTTACTTAGGGTTTGCTGATGCGACTGATGGATTGTTTTTGTGGACGTTAATTGTGTTACATGAAACCGAAAACACGTTCTGATCTTCTTCATTGTCTCTACTGCACTTGCTGAAATGCAAAAAAGGAAAAA